GATTACCCAGTCACCACGTTGCTTTCTAAATACTGGGATGTTAAACTGGAAAACTAATAAAATTTATTATAAAAAAAAGTAGCTCTAAGGGGAGGCTGCATTCCCAACAACGGTTGGCCTCCCTGCTGGGCTGCTGCACTCCCAGCAGCTGCTGACCTCCCAACAGTGGCTGCAGCATTCCCAATTGCTGCAAATCCCACAGTGGCTGCTGCACGTTCAGGGGTTGTTGCCACCACCACTGCTGCTGCGCTTCCAACGGCTGCTGACCTCCCGGCACCGGCAGCTGCGGCATCCCCAGTTGCTGCAGTCCTCCCATTAGCTGTTGTGCATTCACAGGGTGCTGCCTGCCCCATTGCTGCTGCATCCCAAATGGTTGTGGAGCCCCGGTGGTGGCTATAGCACCCCCAAGTGCTGCAGGCCCCCCAACAGCTGCAGCGCCCCAACCTGTTGCTGCCTGGCCAACAGGCTGCACAGCTTTTGAATTAAATCTCGTTGGACACTCACATTCGGGTCTTCCCCTTGCGCAGGCCTCGGGCGGCACCAACAATGATGCATAGGGCTGTGTGACTGATAGTAGTGATGGTCAGGGTACCTGTGACGATCTGGACTCTGACTGCCCCAGTGGTGGCTCGGGCTTCGGTAGTGGATCTGTTTGTCGTGGCTGTCATCGTAATCCTGTCGCCTGGAGTCTTCACGCTGGTGGTGCCTGTCGAGGGATCGCAATAACCTACACCATCGGGGGCTTCTCCTGTGGCTGGGGCTCTTGCGTCATGAGCAGCGCTCCGCAGTCCTGTAGGAACGGTGACACCTCGGACTGCCAAGTCTAGAGTGGTGGCCGGGACTCTCCTTCCTCGCAGGGCTGGAGGTCAACACTGGTCGCTTTGAAGACAGCGAAGCCACCTGCAATCCATCAGTGGGGTTGGGGCTTCTCTTAGGCACAGATTGGCGTCGGCTCCGCCAGTCATCGTACTCACTTGCATGTGAAGAGTGAGAAAGTTGTTCCCCACTCCTCACCTCCAGCCTTTCAAATCTCTCCATCAACTTTTCCAATGATTGACTACGGATTGTGGACAGGAAACTTCCATTCGCCAATCTTTTGGTTCCTTGACGGTCCGGAGAGCGCAATCCTCGAGGGGCCCCTGCTTGCAAGTCAGCTTTGGATGCTTTTGAAGAACTAGTCTTCAGCAGGGTTGCCTCGAGGTGCTTGGAGTCTCTGTTGGGCAGGGTCCACTCCGATGACCAGATCAGGTCTCGCGTCTTTGGCCTTGCTCCCTGCTGTAAAACATCAAAAGTTCCTTTCTCCTCCGGTGCACTGGCTTGTGCTCCCTCCACTGAGGAAGCAGCCATGGCCGGGGTGCTTGTTACAGGTGCTTCTTCCATCTCCATGCTGAGATCTTCCTTGAGTCTTTGTCAGCCTACCCCTCGACTTAGGAAAGGTGACTGGAGCTAAGGACCCCAGGATGGTCAGGATAGAAGGTAGTTTTGGGTTCATGTCATGGTTCTGATAGATGAAACCCATCAAAAGAACTGCAAGACAAGCATTCTTCCTTAAAGAACATTTTATTCAGGAAACAACATATCGGCATTACATAGTTGAACCCAAAACTAGTTTCCCTTCCCCCAGATACAAAGTAACAAATTGCAATTCCCACCCCCCAATAAGCAGTCATAAATCACATTCTCCAATTAGCCTGAAACATGGGCTTTCTCCCCAACTCCTCAGCCCCCCAAAACGTTATCAATTCATCCTTGGGTTCCCACAAAGCAGCATTTATTATTATGATTAGCTAAGCTTAGGCATTCATCCCAACCCCTCTTCTGCACCTGATTTCTAAATAGAAGAAAAAGCATGTTAAAAGCAAAGAGAAAATGATTGCGATTTTCATCAGTTGTCGGAGCGGGAAACATCCAATATTTACAGCATTGAAACTGAAATCCAAAAGACAGCAAGTGATCTACCTCTACATTATTAGACTGAAGATCTTGAGAAGGTTCTGTTGAAGTAATTCAGCTATGCTAAGCTAAATGGAGAAGAGGAAGCTAACATAGGCAGTGAAAATGACACATTTCTTTACAACCAAGAGTTCTTCATCCAGATGGTTCTACTTCCCACTCTTCTTTGCAAGGATGGCTGTGTTGATGGGACTGCCAGTCCAATATTTCTGAAGGATGCCTCACTGAGGGATACTAAGCTAGACCAAACTGATGGAAGTTTTTTCCTACGTTCATTTTTCTTTTTTTCTTCAGAAAACTTCACTTTGCTTATAATGTACCTAGCCATGGTTGCCTCCTTAGCTTTATGCCATCCATGCCATGCTATTTTATAATCTCAAGCACTTCCCCAGCACCATGGATATTCCTTTCACTGAGAGTCCACTCAGAGATTGGGAAATCACTTCACCATATGTTATTCTTTCTACACACAAACCCAGAATCTGACATGCATCCAGCAACTGTAGTGCCCAGAAAAACATCAAGTATGAGAGGAGTTGGGTGACAGGTAAGATTGAGATTTTGGATATCAGACTTCAAATTCTGCTTTCCACAATCCAAATATCTGAGGGAAGGGGACTTCAGAAAGCAGTATTTCTACATAACAAATTGCAGTACAAGATCAAGAGGCTACTGGGATCAACACTATTGGAACTCTACCTGCATATCTGAGGACACTCACTATGGATAAGAGTCACATAGTAGGATGGTGCTAAATCAGGCTGGATGTTTCATGTATAGTATATGCACTATCAACCCTGCCTGTTCATATAGCAATAGCACTTAGACTTATATACCACTTCATAGTGCTTTTCAGCCCTCTCTAAGCAGTTTACAGTCAGCAAATTGCTCCCAACAATCTGGGTCCTCATTTTACCTACCTTGGAAGGATGTAAGGCTAAGTCAATCTTGGGCCGTTCAGAGTCAAACTCCTGGAGTGAGCAGTGAGTTAGCCTGCAGTACTGCATTTTAGCCACTGCACCAGTAGTATACAGAGCGATTAGGAGGAACAACAGTAGGAAGTAATATGGGTTCAATTTAGATAATCAAATCACAACTCCCCCTTCACACTATACAGCATAAAACATACTTAGCCAAAGATAAATATCATGCCAAGCTGCAATCTGGGCTCTAATCAACAAAGGGCATAATCGGATCGTAATTTCTACTGGAAGGGAAACAGTTGCACTGCTATAATCTTAATTCATTCTTTCCAGTATTTTTTTCTGTGCATCCAGATCTCTAGTTTATTCAGAATTTTTCTGCATTAATGAATTCATTCATTCATTCATTCATTATGCCTTCCTACAAAGTGACTCTGGACACTTTGCCTTATGGATTTGCAAACATCTTTTAGACATTGAAAAATGAGATACTGTACTACATTTAATTTCTCACAAAACATCCTTTAATACAGGGGTCCCCAACCCCCGGTCCATGGATTGGTACTGGTCTGTGGCCTAATAGAAATTGGGCCATGCAAGTGACAAGGTAGCGAGCAAAGCTTCAATACACATGCACAGTATGTAGGTTGTGCGCAAAACCATCCCCCCTCCACTGCGTGGAAAGATTGTTTTTCATGAAACTGGTTCCTGGTGCCAGAAATGTTGGGAACCGCTACTTTAATATATTCTTATGGCCTTCCTTGATCCATTTTTGTTGCTAATACAGCTATTTTCCTTTTGTTCAATTGTGTCCAATTTTCAGAGACTGCCTGGACAAGTTCCTGAAATTTTCTTTTTCAAAAGTGGTTCGTCATTGCCTTCTTCCTAGGGTTGAGAGGAAGTGACTGGCCAGTGATCACCCAGTTAGCTTTGTGTCCAAGGCAAAGCTAGAATTCATGTTCCTCTGGTTTCTAGCCCGATGCCTTAACCACTATACCAAACTGGGTCTAATACAGGAACAATGGCTACTATTATGGAGTTTGTATAAAACCAAGTTGCTTTTGCAATATAATCTTGCATGTGGCTATTCAGAAGTCAGTTTTATTGTTTATAATGCAGTTTGCTCCTTAGTATTCACTGCAGGAAGGTAGGCTTAATGAGCATATAAGCTCATATAATGAAAAGTGTAACTTTATATTTGATTTCTTTTCTACAGGTATTTGTGCTGTTTCCAGTTTTGTATGCTCTGTCTCATTACATGAATTTGTAAATTTCAAAACCAACAGAGCAGCTTGTAACAACTTATACATTTAATAAGACACAAACTTCTGTGGATTCTTCAGATTTGATGCTCATAATCCAAGTTTGGCAAGACTACAATTATCTCAAGTATCTGGACCAATGTTTCTCAACTTTGACAGTTTTAAGATGTGTGTACTTCAATTTCCAGAATTCCCCAGCCAATGACCTCAATGAAAATGCAATGGAAATGTTATGATTGTGACAACTATGTTGAAGTTTAATGCTACATTATGCTACATTTAAAACGTCTGCTAATCCTTAAAGACATTCTCTATATTGCCCAAGTGGTTGGTTTTTGTCCTAACCATCCCAGCCTTTTAAGTACAGTACAGCACTTTGCACATAAACGCTAGATCAAATTTGCATTATTTGGTCCTAAGTGCCATCTAATGGGTGTCATTGGAATTGCAAGTTTTTATAATCGGTGAAGGGTTGCAGAACGAAGAATATTAAATGAGTCGGATGCTGGGAAGGGGCATTCGCCGATCCAATTTCTTGGAAGAATAAATTTAAATAGCAACATGGTTGCGAGAAAAAAAAGGAGAGGGGGAGGCAGAGAATAGGGATAAAATATCCCGGAAGCGAACATTTACTTTTTAAATATGGCTAGTTCAACCTGTCACTGAACGTAGCAGTCCTGATTTCCCCCCCCCCCCCCATCTAACCGCTGCACTTCCCTCAGTCGAATCAAAGGGAAAAGGCCACAAAATGTTACGCTGAAGAGTTCTATTACTCGGGCAACCTTTATCACAAACATTCTAGAAGTCCCGCCCCTTTCGTGATCTTCTTGTATTCGCCGCTGCCGTTAAGGCAACACTCCATTAGCAACCATGTCCCAAAAGCAGGGGCAAGCATGGCAGACGCTTCCTCTGCCTTTCCCTTCGGTTGGGAAGTGGACTCCGGCGCGCTGGTACCTCCCAAAGGCCGCCGACAAGACTGGAGACTGACTAGCAGTGGAGTGGGGCTTAATTATAGCCCATCATTGCCTTTCCCGCCGCCCTATGCGCGAGTGAGCAAACTAATATTTAGCAGGGTAGCTGGTGCAATCCGGATAGTTTGTAAACACTAAGGTTTGGAGAGGAGGCGGCTAAGATCCCTGGGTTCTCTGCGAGAGGGCTGGAGTGACACCAAAAAACGACATGGGATGCTTTGAGGCAGATCCTGTTTGCATCCAGGTGGTCCCCATATTTTTTGATTGTCCATTCTTTTTCTGTGTACTCACTGTTCCTCCTGCAACTTTTCCATTGTTAGTCCACGATCCAGGAACCGTTGCCACCTGCCTCCCAGAAAGTATGGCAAGATGAAGTCATTCCCCGGCTGGCTACCACTGCACAACTTGCCCACTGCATGAAAACTCATAGGGAACTGCTAGCTCAACCCCGCTACTCTGTCTCTGCCTCACATCAAGACGTCCGCTACAATAAAGATTTGAGAGAGAAGGTAAGAGATTCTGGGGGAATTTTAGCAATTGGGTGCTCTTAGGAAAGTGTCTTGGAAAAGGCATTAAGAAGCAGATTCCTGATTTTACTAGAGAAATAGTTAAGGTCCTATCTGGTTCCAGGAAGATCTTAGTGCAGCAGGATGAAGAGCTGACAATCAGTCCCAGAAGGAACAGCTCTAGGAACACTTACAAACACTTATATCATTTAATGCTGGGCTTTGCTTTTTTCACTTCCCTCCTGACCTCTTTTCCTGTGTGCAAGACTCTTTTATTGCAAGCCTGAAGGCAGAGCCTACATACCAATACAGTACAGAGCACAGAGAAGAGCAACAAAGATGATTAGGGGACTGGAGGCTAAAACATACAAGGAATGATTGCTGGAATTGGGTATGTCTAGTTTAATGAAGAGAAGGACGAGGGGGGACATGATAGCAGCCTTCCAATATCTCAGGGGCTGCCACAAAGAAGAGGGAGTCAAGCTATTTTCCAAAGCACCTGAAGGCAGGACAAGAAGCAACAGATGGAAACTAATCAAAGAGAGAAACAACCTAGAACTAAGGAGAAACTTCCTGATAGTTAGAACAATTAATCAATGGAACAACCTGCCTCCAGAAGTTGTGAATGCTCCAACACTGGAAGTCTTTAAGAAGAGATTGGGCAGCCATTTGTCTGAAATGATATAGGGTTTCCTGCCTGAGCAGGGGGTTAGACTAGATGACCTCCAAGGTCCCTTCCAACTTTATTATTATTATTATTATTGTTGTTGTTGTTGTTGTTATTTAAAAATACTCATATTGCTTGGCTGTATTTTCCATGCATGCTTTTTTCAAATTTCCAAAACAACAAAAAAGTCTATCTTGTTTCAATTATCATAAAACACTGTAGGGAACAGGTGATAATTAAAAATAAAATGTATTAGGCACAAGATATTTTGTCATCAAAAGTAAAATCAAGTTACAAATTATCCAATGCTATTCTAGTAGGTGAAACTGGAGCATCTCACAACTTTATTTATGATGACTTTTTATATTACATTCAATAATATTGTTTCTCATAATTACCAGCCAATGATGGTTGTAAGACAGAGGAATTTTCTACTCTGAACAATAAATATTTTAAGAAAATCAACTCTCAATATGAATCGAATCGACAAGGATAATCTTAAAAATAAGCAATTTCTCCCTTCCCCATAGTCTTAGGAACAGTATTAACTGTCATTAGGTCTAATCATCTGTCCCTCTGCTTTTTTAATATAATTTTAAAATTAGGTTTTATAAAACATAAAAAACTAAAACAAACTAATAAAATGCAGAAGCAGGAAAGAAATAAAGAAGAAAAGTGAAAGTGTAGAAAGAATAGAAAAGAACAAAAAGTAGCTTTCAATTTCCTTTACAGAAATATTAGTTACAAAATTCTCTCTTACTCTGATTACAAAAAAAAATCTTTTTTTTTCCCTAATAATCAAAACCACAAATCACCTATGCATTTTTTCTGTTTCAGGCAAAAAAATAAATGGTGTCTAGTTGACCATAAATATAGGTACCATTTTCCTCTAATTCGTCAAAAGTAAAAATAAAAATAGCATTATAAAAAATAAAAACAGTTCCTTAGCCGTTAAAACCTTTCATAGGTCCTCCCTTAGTTACATTTTTTGCAAATAAATCTTAAATCTTTAAGCAAAGTCTCTTATATTTCTGAAATCTAGAAAGAAGACTAATCACAAAAGATAAGAAGTCTTATCTTTACTGCAAAAGAAAATCTCTCTTCAGTTGTAATTGATTACTTCTTAAAGTGATTAAGAGATGGGGAGAGTAAGGCTGTAAAGTCCCTAATGGTTCCATTGGAGTGTAGGTGAAAGTCTAGGATTCCCAGCAGCTCAACTCCTGATCTAGCTGCAATACCCTTTTCTGTTTGTGCAGTTTAATCAGAAGGAGCTGCCATCAAGAACGATGTAATTAATCTCTCTCCCTTTGATCCAGGGAGCCAGCCAGAAATCATCTTCCAGCTGGCTTTCAAAGGCTACAGCAGCTCTCCTCACTTTGGAGAATATCAAACTATCACTCCCTACAGCAAAGGTCCCCAATCTTTTCAGCACCAGAGACCTGTTCCGTGGAGAAGTTTTCACACGGACCAGAGTGCGTGGTTTTGTGTGCTGCCTGCATCTCGCAGATGGGGCTTTGCTTGTTTGTGTGGACCAGTTGCTGGCATGCCGCAGCCCGATACTGGTCCACGGAACGGGGATTGGGGACCCTTGCCCTACAGGAAACAACTCAGCCGTCCTTCTACTTTCTACTATATGTTCTGTTTCCTGAACTCTCAACCTGCTCTTGTCACCAACAGCTGAAGCTTAGAGCCTGGAGGTTCCCCCTAACTATGGGCAACCAGAAGAGTGAGATCCAAGCAAATTTTCATGGTTGGCCCAATCTGCCGCACGACCCCACCTTTCATGCTGGGCCTCAGCCATTCAGGTTGGCAGCTCATCACGCAGATGGAGCATCCAAGGTATCTGGAATTTCAGAGACAAAAGGAGAACACCCACACTTCTTTTTCCTGGACACTCAGTTTTTCTTGCCAGAGTCAGGATCTCCAAATTAAGGATGATTCATTGTGCACGTTTTTGCAAAGTTTTCTTGCACGTGTCCCCATCTTTTTGATACTGAGCAAATGAATGTTTAATGTCCTTTAGGCTCTTGCCAGATCTATGTGCAGCTTGTGTATGCTGAAGGTACAATAGCTAGGGGTGGCCTGGGTTAGGGATGACTTCAAATTCGCAGAGGAACAGCCTCCAGAGATAGACTCTGGTAGCTTATCTGACAGGGACAATAGCTATTTAAATTTCCTACAGTGCATTAAGTCGACTAAGGGAATTGTGGAAATTTTAAAATGCGGATGTCATGGGGAAGGGAATTAGGTGGCCTTTCTAATTGATGCTGGACCTGACTGAAGAGTCATCTTCTTAAAGATATCTTCTGCAGCAGAGAAAATGCTGCTTAGCAAATTCAGAAAATCCTGTCCAATAGTGGTCTTTATTCTTTTCATTATAGTTGGTGGTAGCCACTACACAGAACAATGTCCTCGCTGGAAAACCCTTCTACATCTGTGACAAGGCAGTGCTGAAGCTTAACGAACCCTACTTATCAACCACTGCCCAGGACTTCCGGATCTTCACACAGTTAGTGGAACATCTGTGGTATCTTTTCCCCACTCTTTCAGAGCCATATAGGTAGTCCTCAACTTAAGATCACAATGAAGCCCAGAATTTCAGTCCTAAATCATTCTGGTTATTTTAGGGTCTCAGTGGTACTACTAGTTTACATAACACCTTCAGAATCTGTATTTACATCTGTAAATGTAATTCTTAATTTACAGCGATAATTGGCATTAGATTTTGGTTGAAATTCATTACAGTTATTAAGTTGAGGCATCTATGTGATAAGACCCAATTTTATGACATTTTCTGCATAAATGTTATTAAATGTCATTAAGGAAATCACTGTTGAGCGAACTTTAAAATCATACCTGTAAACCCATTCTTTCCACTGAGAGTTTTTGCCAGACAACAGGCAGAAAAGTCATAAATTGTGGTCACATGACCATTGGACCTACAACAGATCATAAAGGAGAGCTGGTTGTCAAGAACCTGAAATGTGGTCACATGACTACAGTGTAAGGCATGACATTTTACAACAGTCAAAAGTGTTTTACAGACCATGAAACATCCTCTGAGCCTGTCATAATTTTAAATGGTTATTAAACGATTGATTGTAAGTCATGGACTACTTGTATTAGTTGCGGGGGAGCAAAGTGGGAGGCATATGCTCCTAGGTTCTTCAAAACACATAGTTGGAAAAAGGAAAGTGGATTCCCCAGGATTTTGCTTTGATTCACAAAGTTCTACTTTTATAATACATTTCCATTCTTGCTAACCTGAATTTTCGGTATTCTTTTCATTCGCCCCTGGAGACACATTTCACTTTAATCGCTGTAAGTTCAATTCTGCCAATTGTGTCAAATATGCTAATTTGATCAATATATATGTATGATACAATTGAGCCCAAAATTTCCACAGCTAAACAAGACATTTATCAAGTGAGTTTTGCCCTATTTTATGACCTTTCTTGCCACAGTTGTTAAGTAAATCACTACGTTCTTAAGTTAGTAATACAGTTGTTAAGTAAATCCCATTGATGTTGCTTGTCAGAAAGTTGAAAAGGGTGATCACTTGATCTCAGGACATTGCAACAGTCATAAAGTTATGTCAGTTGTCAAGCATCCAAATTTTGATCGTTAAGTATGAAAAATGGTCATGTCACTTTTTTCAGCGCCACTGTAACTTTGAACTAAATGATGCTTGTAAGTCGAGGACTACCTATATCTTGTTTTGCACAATTCATCCTACCTACCTAAATTTACTATGTCTATAACAATAGTAAATTTTGATTCATCTATTAATTTTACTAGGAAAAAGTGAGGAGCTCCCAATCTCTCTTCTAGAAGCTTGTAAAACCTGTAATTTTAGTAGGCATCACCCACAGGCATCACTCACTGTAGTCATAGGGACTAGAAATATTTCTTTTTTAAAATTAAAAATTAGCTTCTTAGTAAGCTGAATTCTAAATTTAGTGCTCTATTTAATGCCCTCTAAGCAGCACAAACAGACTTGAGCAGAATTGATTCTTGCATTACTATATATAAAGGAAATATAAGCATCTGCTTCTGGAGTGAAATAAATCTGCCCTTCTTGTCTTCTTATAAAGTAGTTTAATCTCACTCAATACATAACACTGCACATATTTCCTGCTTTTGTCTACCTTCCTGAAAAAATGATTTCTTTTGTTCTGTCTCCATTCCTTCATAGGAAAGAACTTCAAGGGTATACTCAGAAGGAAATTCTCAATTTGGATCCTTACCCTCTGATTCGTGAACCTGGGCCTATGCGAGATCTCCAGATGTTTCCAAAGGCTACCCGGGTACCCCACTTGATCCTGAACCCAGCTGTACCTCACCGTGGTTTATTCAGCCTGGCCCAAGAAACCTACCAACTTCCCAATGACCACAAGCGAACCTGGAATCGCTTCTGCCCTGTGCAGCAGCCACCCACAGTTTCCTGCCGGGTGCCTGTGGTGGAAATCATGTGTGTGCCACATATGTATGAGACGGAGTATAAATGCTATGGAAGTGGCAAACCTATGCCAGTGTGAAATGGACAGAGATTTGTACTCACTCACTAGTCCCTTTTTCTACTTCATCCAAAAAGAAGAAAAAAAATATTTCATCATGTTTACCTTTTAATCATTTTGTTGAAATAACTAAAACAAAAACAAAAACTCTAGATGCATTCAACAAACAGAACATTTTGACTTATACTTTGCTATACTGTCTTAGCATTTTAGCTTCATAAAGCTGTGAACAAACTAGGCATAAAAGTTGCCATGCATGTGTGCTCACCTGAAGAATATTAGGCCCACAGCAGTAAGCAAACCAATACAGGATTAATGTGCAAGAACTGATTCTTGCATTACTGTATATAAAGAAAATAGAAGCATCTTCAGAGGGACTTCTGGAGTGAAATAAATCTGCCCTTCTTGTCTTCTTATAAAGTAGTTTAATCTCACTCCATACATAACAATACTAGAACCACATATAGTCCTCAATTTAAGACCAATTGTTTAGCAACAATTTGAAGTTACAACAGACTTTCATGGGGATACTTACAATCTGATTCCAAAGTTCTAATGGTTACACCACTGACTGCATTTTGGGTGTTCAGAAAGTGGTCCACATCTATAGCTGTTTGCAGTGTCCTGCAGCCATGTGAACATGTTTTGTGATGTTTTCTGAAAACTGGCATTTCTAGTTTTGGGCAAAAAACACCCAACTGTTTGCTTAACGACCACAACATCTGCTTAACAACTGCTGCAAAAAGGTCATAAAATTGGATCTGTTATGTGGGTGACCCATTTTATGATTATCACAACTTACAGTGATAATGGGCAAGCTCTATTATGGTCATAAGTTGAGGACTATCATACAATGACACTGAATTCCAAAACAAAAAGTCATAAGGGAATAGCAAATAAGAACCAGCACTTGCTAGGCCTGGCTAATTCTTCAGGATCGATAGCCATAGTCATTTGCTTCAGTTACCCAGAAAACAAGCCCCCACTATATTGACTCTTTGCTATGTGGTTCACTGATGCCTCAAGCATGGATAGGTCCTCACAGTCAGCAACCAGATATTGTTACATCATGCCTGCTTCAGCCCCCATTTTGTATAGCCTGAATCATGAAATGTATTGCTATACTAGAGTTTGCTAATTTTGGCTTAGTCTATTATGTAAAATCTCCCAGTGTGTGGTTTATTTATATAATGTTTAAGCAATGAATTAGTGCAATTGTTTGAACCCAACCTGAATGTGAAAGATAAGACATATAATTTTCACATTTATATTCCAATGTTCTTGGTTTGTATGAGATTTTCCTATTTTCTCTTCAATATCACCTGGGAAGTCAGTTAGCTAGCGAGACAGTGACTTGGCTTGCCTGAGTAACAGTGGCACATCTCAAGAAAGAAGCATGGGATTGTACTGTTCTAAGCAGCTCTATATTTGGATACAACACCCAGAACAGATGCTACCGGTATGTAGGATTCTCAGCAAGAGTGAGAAGCCAGTAGCTCTTAAGATGATATTTATCTTCAGCCCCATTGTCAATGATTAGGAATGATGGTACCCAAAAAATAACATCTGGAAGGCCACATAGTCTGGGATTACAATTTTGGATTGACAATGAGCAGGTGCTGATTCAGTTCCATTGCTAAACTGATAGTCACAAGGCATCTATCTTCCTCTAAAACAGTGGTTCTCAACCTTCCTAATGCCGCGACCCTTTAATACAGTTCCTCATGTTGTGGTGACCCCCAACCCTAAGGGCTCTCCAAGCGCGCACCGATGCCGCCCACTCACCCGCCGTGCCCAGGGCTCAGCGCGCCTCGCCTGTCCTCGCCTCATTTCCGAAGGTCGCCGGCCTGCCCAGCTCCAACTGGCCGGGGAGGGGGGGCAGGAAGGCCGCTTCGCCGGCTCCGCCCAGCCTGGTTGGAGAAGCGCCCAGGCGGGGAGAGGGAGAGAGCAAGAGAGAGAGAGAGAGAGAGAGAGAGAGACAAGAGGGCGACAGCACTGGCAGAGCTTAGTTCAGCCTCCTCCGCGGAAAGGGCCGTGAAGCAGCACAGTCTCCCTTAGGAGATGCTTGACGGAAACAAATCTGGGGCTGCAATGGCCCCCAACTCGAAGCCATGCAGAGACGGATAGAGGAGCGGTGTCTCGGTTCCTAAGACCATCGGAAATATGTGTTTTCCGATGGTCTTAGGCAACCCCTGTGAAAGGGTCGTTCGACCCCCAAAGGGGTCACGACCCACAGGTTGAGAACCGCTGCTCTAAAAGTACACTTTATAGGATTGTGGTATGGATAATATGTGTGAGAGAGAAGCAGTATTTATGATGTGAACTTCTGGAGGAGAGATGGGATATCAATGTATAGGTAGTCCTTGATTTTTAACCACAACTGGGAGCATAATTTCTATCACTAAATGGATGCAGTTGTTGAGTCACGCCTATATTATGACATTTTTGATGAGTTAAGTGAATCATGATGACCGTTAAGGGAATCACATGGTTGTTAAGATACTCTGCAAGGGACTTTGCTTGTCAGACGCCATTCAGGGAGGTCATAAATGGTGATCATGTGACTCCAGAATGCTATGATCATTGTAAATACATGTTTTCCAAGTGCCCTAATTTTGACCATGTGATGGGAGTGCAATAGTAAATGAGGGTATGGGTCATAAGTCACTTTTTTCAGTGTCATTACTTCACATAGTTGTTAAATAAATGGTTGAAAGTTGAGGACTATCTGTTATTACATAAACAAGTTACTGCATTTTTGTCTCTTCATTTCAGAGAAACATAATGACATGAGCAGGCAAAAAAAAATAATCAGAGTAACAGCGACTTTCTTGCTGATTTGATCAGATCTGATCACCCTCTAGCAGCTAGTGATAGGACCAGTCTACCCTGCCTCTGGAGGTCTATGACAGAATTGGTCTCCTGATCTCTAAAGCTAAAGGAAGGGCCAATTTACCTGCCTCTGGAGGGCTAGGTGGGACCAATCAATGCAACAGCATTGAAGTGACCACAATTGCAAATTCTCATTTTAACAGGATTTATGGATCTCAGATTCTGGATGTGTTCTGTAGGTTATCCCATTTGAGTTAAACTTGGTTTAAAAATTATTGGACTATGATATGCCCTTTCACCCAGTTAAAATTTATAGACAGAGTTTTAGTAGAGATAAATTCCAATGGAGCCTGTCTATCACAGTTGTGAATGTAGCTTTTCTATTATTTAGTTTATAAATACTCTAGTTTATGCACATAAAGAAGAGAAAGAAATAGTTGTTAATAATAAAATATGGTTTTCTCAATTTTGAAAAGAGGCATAAATGCCATGCTACTCTTAATGTCAACTTTATTAAAAAGCTAATACTTGGTAGTATATTCGGAGGTCCTTCCCTGAGCCGGGTCATCCACTGCAGAAATCTGAGAGCTGCAGCCTTCTTCCTTCCGAATCCCTTCTCTGCACCGACCCCGATTGGGGCGTCTCACCTTTTTCATTTATAAATCTCGACCGACCAAGAAGCATCCCCACGTCTCCTGCGACCGAGTAACCGAGAGATGCATAAAACCCGGGACGCGCCCGGGATGTGACGCCAGGGAAAGCGTTAGCCAGCCGCGCCGGTTGAAGTGGGAAACCGTTAGCCACGAGCGCCGTTTGGGGGTGTGGCCTCGGGCTCAGCAGCTCTCAGACAGAAGCGAGGGCGGAGCGGAGAGCGAGGTCAGGGCGAGGGCGACTTCAACAGAACAGCCTCGCGTTTGCACTTTAACGGAGTCCTTTTGGGCAGCTATGGATTAGTCAAATTGGCAAGCAACATCCACACGCTAGAAAGGATGTGTCGACCTGCAGCAGGCCACACTAGCAGATGACCCCATGAGTGTCATTGTGTGCAACCGTGAAATTATCTCAGCCGATCTCTGCTGGGATCCGGGAAGGTGCGTGCCTTCCAGAATTGACAATAAAGATTATCTTGTCTTGTCTTTTCTTGTCTCGTCTTGTTTCGTCTTATCTCATCTTATCTCATCTCATCATCTTATCATCTTATCTCTTATCTTATTTCTTATCTTATCTCTTATCTCTTCTGGGTGTTTTTTTTTTATAAAAAGCAAACCGTGGATGAGGTGAAGCATGAATATATAGTCTGTATATCTGCGTGATATGTTGAAGTTGTTAGTGATTCCAGTGTAAACTTGTCTTGTGGGTTTTTTAAAAACATTTTTCAGTTATAAAGATGGCTCAGTTTACTTTCAAACGGAAAAGAAAGAGAAAGATGGGAGGAGTGGATGAAGGAGCAACTCTTATAATTCGGCAAAAAGATGAATTGAAAAATATGTGAATAAGTTGCCTGGAGTTGGGTTCATTAAGTTGCTCATCCATTTCTTGATTTTCACCAAGCTCTAACTTATTCATCCCATTGGATTCATTGGATTATTCATCCCATTGGACTTTTGCTCTCTTTTTTCAGTTTAAATCTTCAAATTGTGTCCTGTAGTTCAAAGTGGTAATACAGGCTTTACAAAAAACTGGCAGATTTTTAAAATTGCTTTGTCACCTGAAAAAGAATTCTTGCAAACTCAATGGTTGGTTAAGTTGGTTTAGTAAAAATGTTGGTGGAATAAGAATAAAAGTAAATGTATGATATCTTCACATAACACAGCCTCAGATCATATTTATTTATTTAGCATATGTCATATCATACATGGACTAGCAACATAAATTCATGTTTCAACTAGATTAATAGAACACAATAAAATATAAATATAAATGCCAAGGGTTGGGAACCCCTGATCTAGGGTATCTAACCATTGAAGTGCAGCATTGTTTACATTTTAAAAAATCAGATACTGGACCAGTATATGCCCTCAGTTTATAGCTGGTCACAATGTGATCTATAGTTTGAATGGACCCCACAGTCACACTGAGGATATTATATGGCTCCACCAAACAAACTTAAATCCACCAGGCAAAAATGAAATATACACATGAAAGCTCACTTAGCAAGAAAAGTTCAATGTCTCCAAGGCACAATTCCAAACAAGGTGAAGCAGGAAGCACAACAAACAAACAAACAAACAAAGGCCAGCAAACCAATACATTGTTCCCAGCAAAGCCTCCCTCTGCCTACTGTCATACATAGTCAGCTTCTCGTGCAGCCCAGTAGTCTGGTCTCCATTGCTCCTGAATTTACTCTGTCCTGTGTGGTCTCAGATCAGGTGCAGAAGGCAGTTCATCCTCTTTGCTGGCTGTCTGCCCCTGCAGGCTTTCCCCAGCTGAAGCCCCCTTTGATTCTCTTCCAGCTGGTTGTTTAGAGCAGGGGTCCCCAACCCCCGGTCCATGAATTGGCATGGAGCCATGGCATACCAGCAACTGTGCCGCGCAAACGAGCGAAGCCCCATCTGCTGGATGCAGGCAGCACACAAAGCCACGACCCCTCTGGTCCATGGAAAAACCTTTCTCCACAGAACCGGTCCCTGGTGCCCAAAAGATTGGGGACCTCTGGTTTAGAGACATTAATTAATTTCCTGAAATGCCGGGAATCTGGGGAGTCATCCAAGGGAGACATCACACCAAGTTACAAAGGATCTCCCTGGTA